AAGTCACCTGGGAAGGTCAAGAGCTTGAACATTGTTCCCATCTTAAATATCTCGGTGTCACCTTAGATCGAACACTAGCATATAGGAAACACTGCTTGAACACCAAACACAAAGTAGCTGCACACAATAATATCCTGTGAAAACTTACTGGCAGCACATGGGGTGCAGACTCAAAATTAATAAGAACATCAGCCCTGGCCTTGTCTTACTCAACTGCTGAGTATGCCTGTCCTGTTTTGCATAGGTCTGCCCCATGCAAAGCAGGTGAACATAGCATTGAATGAAACATGCAGAATAATCTCAGGGGGTCTAAAACCTACACCTGTTGATAAACACTACAAGCTAGCTGGAATTGTTGGAGGCTACAGACAATGCCGTTCCTGTTGCCCATTTTTGCTCAAAAGATATTTAGCCGCCTGTGCTCTTATTTTTATCAGTTTTATACTAATTTGTGCCATGTTTTTTATGTTTAAGAATTTTAATTAAAATATTATAGATTACAGCGAAAGAGGGTGAATATTTAAAAGAAGATAGAACAGTAGGAAATAATAGGTTTAAAAAAATGATATGAAATAAATAAATAACAGAACTGGGCTTCCAGGTGTGTCTGCATACATCACTAACAGAAGAACGGCCAATGTCTAAACTAGCATATTGGACCAAACGAGTGCATCAATAGGACACTGGTACTGTTGCCAGCCTGCAACTTAGACAACCTTTCAGCTGCTCCCAGTTCAGGAAAAAGACTCTGAACCCACGGTTTCTTCAGTTGGTCCCTCTCTGACCCTATTACATAAGATTTGAGTTGCAAGCAGGATACCAGATATGCCAAAATGTAGCTCTAACAGCTAATAATAGGACAAGAGCACCAATTAGGTGTAAGAAGTAGCTCTTGTTGAGCTTCTGGTCTTGACACATGAAAAGGCTGTGAACAAAGCCTGCAAGGATGCCTTTTGCCAGTTCTGATGGCTCTTTTTCTGTTGGCCAGACCTTTTCAGAAAAGAACTCAGATCAAGCTTTTGTTCAGAAAGCCTTGCTGGGTGGAGCCATGCTGCCCTCTAGTGATGTTATGACCGTCCAGTTAACTAGGCTGCGTTTAGCACATCTAGCCAAGGAATTGTCTGATCCTTTTGTTGGTTTTGCTACTTCTATGGAGTGATTTGGAGTCTCTTTCTCTGGTTTTAAATAGATGATGGGGCATCTGTTGGGATGTGCTTGGATTGTGCTAATGTCCTCCCAACTCTGCTATATGCCTGCGAGACGTGGACTGTCTACAGACGTCACATACAACTCCTGGAACGATTCCATCAGCGCTGCCTCCGGAAAATCCTGCACTTCTCTTGGGAAGACAGGCGGACAAACGTCAGCGTGCTGGAAGAAGCAAAGACAACCAACATTGAAGCGATGGTCCTCCGCCACCAACTCCACTGAACAAGCCACGTTGTCCGGATGCCCGACCACCATCTCCCAAAGCAGTTGCTCTACTCCGAACTCAAGAATGGAAAACATAATGTTGGTGGACAGGAAAAGAGATTTAAAGATGGGCTCAAAGCTAACCTTGAAAACTCTGGCATAGACACTGAGAACTGGGAAGCCCTGGCTCTTGAGCGCTCCAGCTGGAGGTCAGCTGTGACCAGCAGTGCTGCAGAATTTGAAGAGGCACGAATGGAGGGCGAAAGGGAGAAGCGGGCCAAGAGGAAGGCACGACCGAGACCGCCTTCCACCTGGAAACCAATGCCCTCACTGCGGAAGAAGATGCAGAGCAATAATAGGGCTCCACAGTCACCTATGGACCCACAAGAATATTGGAAGACAATCCTCCTCGGAAAATGTTTGCCCATGCTTGTCCTAAACTCTGCACTCCATCAGTCCTCCAGACCTTCCCCCTCCATGAAACAAAACAATTTCCTACCTCTGTGTTAATGAATAGGATGCACAACACTACTGAAGACAATATGTGGAAAACAAAAGCTCTGCTTTAAGCACATAAGGACCTCTTGACCTACTTTTCCTTCACTACAAACACTCCTTGTGAATGAAGGAGTGAATGAATTGTCAAAATGCAGGCTCCTTGGGGGGTGGGGTGGGGGAGGAGATAATTTTAAACATGAGAGAGGCAATGCTCCCCCCCTTCCTCATTTGCAATATAGCAAATGGAACAAAATTAATTTGAGTATCTTGCCACAAGAATTGTACATTTATTTGTCCTACCCCAAGACCCTGGAGACACTGTGAGAGAATCTGATCTGTTTTTTCAATAGATTTACAAGTTGGGTAGATGCGGGGAATGTGTGGATGTAGCGTACCTGGATTTCAGTAAGGCCTTCGACAAAGTACCGCTTTGGCGGGGAGGTAAAAGGCGTCCTGAAAAACATGCTCGCAAAAATCTGACCAGAAAAGGAGTCCATGGATGACACCTCTCTATGAAACAGCACCTCTCTATGGCCGAGTAAAGCACAGCTGGATGCCAGAGATGCCGGGCTTCAGTACAGCTGGTTAATCACCAGCAGCAAAAAAATCTTACCAATCGAAAGGTTGGCAGTTCAAAGCCCAGGTCAGGGTGAGCATTTGACCTTCAGCCCAGCTTACTGTCCACCCAAGCAGTTTGAAAACAGCTGTGAGCTGTGAGCAGATAAATTAGGCACCACTTAAGCAGGGAGGTATTTTACCGCATCATAAAGCAAATACCAGAAAATGCCAGCGATCAAAGGAAGGAGGAAGTCTGTGATCAAGGGATCTTCATCATAGAGGATGGAGCGACAACACCCCCCTGATCGAGCACAACCTCCAGGATGCTGAAGTTGGGCAAAATGCTGGCATAATATGAACCATCTAGGACTTTAAGATCGTCTGGGGAGCCCCTGCTCTTGATTCCGCCTTCCTTGCAGATGCGTTTGGTGGGGACGAGAGACAGGGCCTTCTCAGTGGTAGCCCCTCGGCTATGGAACGCCCTCCCCAGGGATATAAGATTGCCTCCCTCCCTTCTAACATTTCACAAAATGGTTAAGATCTGGCTCTTTGAGCAAGTTTTTTCTACTGGAGCATAATTAGACATAAACAAATATATGGAATGAATGACAATGCAACTGGACAACGATTTTATTGAGGAGATACCGAGGATCTTGTTTTTACAGATATATTTGTTTTTTATATTACATTTTAAATGTTGAATTGTTTTTATAATTGTTTTAACTGTATTTTGATATTTGTTATGGCATCGAATCGCTGCCGACTGTGAACCGCCTTGAGTCACCTCTGGCTGAGAAAGGCGGTATACAAATGCGGTAAATGGATAAATAAATAATACCTCTATCTGTTGTCTGTCCTGTCTGTTTAATGACATTGAATGTTTGCTGTGTATGTGTTGTGTGATCTGCCCTGACTCCCCTTCGGGGTGAGAAGGGCGGAATATAAATGCTGTAAAATAAATAAATGAATGAAAAGAGGGAAGCCTGCCTCTGTTTATATGTTATCTGTACTTGTCAATTGCCATAGATATACCTGTAATCCACTCTGAGTCTCCTTGGGGAAATAGAGCGGAATATAAATAATGATAATAATAATAATAGTTGTTGTTGTTGTTGTTGTTATACTTGCTCTCTGAGATTGGATCTTTAGAAAGAAGAAAGTAGTTCATGTCTTTGTAACCCCAACAGTGAATATGTATGCCTTGTAGACTTCTTCAACATTGCTATATAATCCAGATTATCAAAGCAGATAATCCACATTGTCTGCTTTGAACCAGATTATATTAGTCTACACTGTCATATAATCCAGTTCAAATCAGATAATCTGGGTTGTTGTAGGTTTTTTTGGGCTATATGGCCATGGTCTAGAGGCATTTTCTTCTGACGTTTCGCCTGCATCTATGGCAAGCATCCTCAGAGGTAGTGAGGTCTGTTGGAAGTAGGAAAAATGGGTTTATATATCTGTGGAATGACCAGGGTGGGACAAAGGACTTTTGTCTGCTGGAGCTAGGTGTGAATGTTTCAAGTGACCACCTTGATTAGCATTTAATGGCTTGGAAGTGCCTGGGGGGAATCTTTTGTTGAGCGGTGATTTGATGTGCCTGATTGTTTACTCTCTGTTGTTTTGCTGTTGTAATTTTTGAGTTTTTTAATATTGGTAGCCAGATTTTGTTAATTTTCTTCCTTTCTGTTGAAATTGTCCACATGCTTGTGGATTTCAGTGGTTTCTCTGTGTAGTCTGACATGGTGGTTGTGAGAGTGGTCCAGCATTTCTGTGTTCTCCAATAAAATGCTGTGTCCAGGTTGGTTCATCAGGTGCTCTGCTATGGCTGACTTCTCTGGTTGGAGTAGTCTGCAGTGCTTTTCATGTCCCTTGATTCGTGTTTGGGCAAAGCTGCTGCGTTTGGTGGTCCCTATGTAGACTTGTCCACAGCTGCATGGTACACAGTAGACTCCTGCAGAAGTGAGAGGATCCCTCTTGTCCTTTGCTGAACGTAGCATTTGTTGGATTTTCTTGGTGGGTCTGGAGATAGTTTGTACGTTGTGTTTCCTCATCAGCTTCCCTATGCGGTCAGTGGTTCCCTTGATGTATGGCAGGAACACTTTCCCTCTGTGTGGATCTTCATCTTGACTCTCCTGGCTTGTTCTCGATCTTACAGCTCTTCTGATGTCTGAGGTGGAGTATCCATTGGCTTGGAGAGCCCAGTTGAGGTGGTTCAGTTCATCTTGGAGGAGGTGGGGTTCGCAGATTCTTTTTGCACGGTCTGCCAAGGCTTTAATGGTGCTTCTTTTTTAACTTGGGTGATTGTTGGAGTTTTTCTGGATTTTCTGGAGATAATCTAGATTTGATATGGCAGTGTGGAAGGGGCCCAACTCAAGTATCAGTCTATGGTCACAACAAATACCCAGAAAAGGCCCAAACAGAGAATGCCTCACTATTCCTTTGATCCCTCCCCTTATCTCCTATTTACGATACAGGCCCAACTGGGAACCCATTTTTTGCTATAATCAAAGAGACAATAAACTCTTCCATTAAAAAAAAGAAACAGATTTAATATTGAAAGTGGGTTTTTTTTTATATTCCACACATTTTGGTGCTATTATTAAAACACACACACACATATATACACACACAAAAGCCCTGCAAGATCATATAAGATTAGTAAATAAAGTAGCACTTTAAATAGGTTTCAGCACAGTGCAACCCGCGTGAAGCTCCATATGCATTGACTCCGTCCTTCAAGCCTTCTCACAGTATATGTCACAAAGGTGCGCAATACAAGATTAATTAAACATGCGCTTTAACAGTGGTGAGATAAGACATATTCAAGCCACAAATTTGCAAATATAGAGATAAATTTCTTTTTTTCCAACGCTTTTCATATGCAGGCTAGTTTTAACCTTTGAAAAAAATACCTCTATCCTCTGCACTGATTGAGGAGTTAGTTATTCACAATTACTTCCGTTGACCAGTCAAAACAGGCAGATACATTTACACATAAAGCTGAAAGAAGATGTTCCCTTTGGTGTAGAAGCCTGAACGGAATCTCCACAGAGAGATCAGGACGGATGGAGAAGCTCCAGAAAAGCCCCAACGGCTCCAAAATAACCCTGTGGAAAACAAACAAAAAGCAAGTCCACAAATATGTTATCACACATGCCTTAAATGGACTAGGAATGCTTACACAGAAATACATAAGCTTTGAGTAGTGCTAAGGGGGAGAAAGAATGATAGTGATAGTGGTATACAGTATAATTTTGTCTATGTAATACTAACTTACTAATACACGAACAGATTTAATTTTTTTAGATTACATAGGTAATAATTAGAATTAGATAAAGATTTTGAAAAAATATTCTGATAAGAATAATCAACAAAGTTATATCCAGAATAGAAATAAAAATTTATATTATTATTATTATTATTATTATTATACTAGCCGTCCCCTGCCACGCGTTGCTGTGGCCCACATGGGGGTTCTGTGGGAGAGGTTTGGCCCAATTCTATCGTTGGTGGGATTCAGAATGCTCTGTGATAGTAGGTGAACTATAAATCCCAGCAACTACAACTCCTGAATGTCAAGAGACTATTTTCCCCAAACTCCACATTTGGGCATATTGAGTATTCGTGTAGAGTTTGGTCCAGATCCATCATTGTTTGAGTCCACAGTGATTTCTGGATGTAGATGAACTACAACTTCAAAACCAAAGGACATTGCCCAGCAAATCCTTCCAGTATTTTCTGTTGGTCATAGGAGAACAGTGTGCCAAGTTTGGTTCAATTCAATTGTTGGTGGGGTTCCGAATGCTCTTTGATTGTATGTGAACTATAAATCCCAGCAACTACAACTCCCAAAAGACATAATCACACTCCTTGTGATGGTCACTCCTTGTGTTGTGAGACGTTTTGTTGCCAAATCTAGTCTAATTTCGTTCATTGGTTCTTTTGTTTTTAAGGTACTCATTATGCACAGAGCATTTATATATATATAGATTATTATTAATATAATAATATAATAATAAAACTTTATTTATATCCCGCCACCATCTCCCCAAGGGGACTCGGGGCAGCTTACATATGGCCAAGCCCTACAATACAGCAATGCAAATAAACAACAATAAAATATATTAAAAAATAAATAAATAAATAAATAAATACAAGAAACAATATAAATAAGCACATCAAACAATATAAAATCACAATAATTTAAGCACAGAAAACAGTATTATTATAATGATGGAAAGCCGAAAGAGAAGAAAAGAAGAACATGAGATAATACAAGAAGATATAATAAATAGAACTTTAGTTACACTCCGTCCTAACTCCTCAAGGGGGACTCAGGGTGGATTCCAACATACAATGACAAACATTCAATGCCTCCATAAACAGACAAATATCAACATAATAATCCCAGAGGAACCCCACAAATCAAAACAGCATGAGAACCTAACATCAATAAATTAAACCCAACGTAATCAAACAAAATTGGATAATGGCATAAAATCTGAACACAAAAACATACAAGAAGATACTTGACAACTCCTCTCTTTGTTACAGAGGATATATGGAACGTTTAATACTTTAAGTAACAGATGCAAGTGTAATAGAGATGAAAAATAGATGTAATAATTGCAACTCTTCTTTTGTCCCCTCAACCCCTCTCCATTCCTCTGCTACATATTAGATATTGGCAAAGATTTAAATTACTAACAATAACTTCATTATCCTCATCCTCAACACTTTCAACAACAACACTTTATTTGTATTGTCGAAGGCTTTCATGGCCGGAATCACGGGGTTGTTGTGAGTTTTTTCGGGCTATGTGGCCATGTTCTAGAGGCATTCTCTCCTGACATTTCACCTGCATCTATAGCAAGCATCTTCAGAGGATGCTTCCTCTGAGGATGCTTGCCATAGATGTAGGCGAAACGTCAGGAGAGAATGCCTCTAAAACATGGCCATATAGCCCCAAAAAACCTACAACAACCCAACACTTTATTTATATTCCATCTTCTCCTTTATTTTTTTCCTTTTCTTTTATAACCTGACTTTTCAATCTTCCCTCCTGATGTAAATGTGTGCGCGCATATCTTTATCTAGTAAATGCATATAAAGGGAAAGGTTTCCCCTTGACATTAAGTCTAGTATCTGACTCTGGGGGGTGGTGCTCATCTCCATTTCTAAGTGGAAGAGCCGGTATTGTCCGTAGACACCTCCAAGGTCATGACTGAATGGAGCGCCATTACCTTCCTGCCAAAGCGGTACCTATTTCTTTGAACTGCTAGGTTGGCAGAAGCTGGGCCTAACAGCAGGAGCTCACCCAGCTCCCCGGATTTGAACCACCAACCTTTCTGTCAGCAAGTTCAGCAGCTCACCGGTTTAATCCACTGCACCACCAGGGGGGCCATATGTATATATGTATGTGTATACACACACACACACACACACACGTATTTTATAAAAATACCCATGCCAGAAAACATCAAGACCTCAGTAATAAAATTTGATAGTCCTTTAGTTGTGTATTTGTGTGTGTGGTCAGTGGATGGAATAGGTAGCCTTGGGGGCCCTTCCAGTTCCAAGATTCTATGATCCAGAGGCTAGGAAAGTTGATATAGGACTGCTCTTGGATCGGCTACGAGTTGCTCTGTGAGCTGTTGCAACGAGCTACAAGTTGTTTGCATGATAAGAGCCTCCTTCTGGTCTCTCTTTCTATCATGGTTCAAGGAATCCACTCTCCGCTCTACATGTTTGACAGGCTTTTTGGAGGTGTGGATGAGTTCGTCCTTTTTTACACTGCACGTCATGACATTTCCTCTTTCCACCCACTCTTTCCTTCCTCACTTGGGCTTGCTAAAAGTGTTGATTACCATCCCAAACAACCTCCAATGCAGGGTTCAACTGCCGGTGTAAAACCAAAGCATCAACATCAAGATAAAAATCTATGAAAGGCTTTTCATGCTGTTCTCTCCCGAAAGGTAGATTGCAAATGGGGACAAAACACTACCTCATGTTCCAAGAACAGGGCCTTCAGCTGCCCCTTCGACCAGTAGTCCAAGGCGTAGGCCAGAAACTTCATGGAGACCGTATTGATACGCAGGAAGTTCCCCACAAAAACCACTCGATTAATGTTCTGCAAGGAAGGAATCACGTAATCAGAATTTTGCTGCCCGACATCAGAAACTGCTTAAAAACATACAGCACATCTTGGAAAATTAAAGCAGGAGAGTCACCGATTCTCCTTCATACCAGTTCACCTCTCCCAATCAGAGCAGACATCTAGACAATTAGAGAGCTCTGAGAAGACTGCAATTCACAGACACCAGGACTGTGGCGCAGCTGGCTGGGAGTCAGCTGCATTAAGATCACTACTGACCAAACGGTCATGAGTCTGAAGCCAGCCTGAGTCGGAGTGAGCTTCCAACCAATTTGTGTAGCTTGCTGTCAACCTTTGCAGCCCGAAAGACAGTTGCATCTGTCAAGGAGGACATTTAGGTACCGTTTATGCGGGGAGGCTAATTTAACTAATTTACGAGGCCATAAAAATCTCCAGCAAGCATGCAAAGAATGAGGAAGTACTTCATCAGTGTCACAAATGGTCAGTGAAGCGACAGCTCCCCTGGTGGCCAGAATACCCTCACGAAAAAGCTGGAATGTTAAATAGCCTCTGTACGTCTGTCTATATATCTTGTGTGTCTATGGCATTTATTATTTATTTATTTCATTTATTTCATTTATTTATACCCCGCCCTTCTCACCCTGGGGGGGACTCAGGGCGGCTTACAGAGGAGGCACAATTAGATGGCTAAAACAATTAACAGCAATACAAAGTACAAAAAAGCAATACAACAGTTAAAATTAAAACATTGAATGTTTGCCACGTATATGTACATTGTAATCCGCCCTGAATCCCCTGCGGGGTGAGAAGGGCGAAATATAAATACTATAAATAAATATCCAGTTGAGTTGTTTTAAAAAAAATTATAACTAGCCATCCCATTCCATGTGTTGCTGTGGCCCAGTCTGTGTATATGTGTTTTGTGTGTGTATATATATTTGTGTATATGTGTACATATGTGTTTGTGTATATATGTGGTTTTGTGCATGCATTGTAATTGGTTTTTTTTCTTGCTTTTTTAGTCCCTTCCACTGTGTTTTCCCCTGTTTTTATGAGTGATGGTCACTTGTTGGCTTGATAGGCGTCTTGTGTCCAAATTTGGTGTCAGTTCGTCCAGTGGTTTTTGAGTTATGTTAATCCCACAAACGAACATTACATTTTTATTTATATAGATTACTAGCTGTCCCCTGCCACATGTTGCTGTGGCTCAGTCTGATGATCTGGAAAATAAGGAATGAGAAAGTGTTGGTTTCTAATATATGTAATTTATTTATGCTTGTGGGTAAACAGTATTTGATTACGTTTTCTTGCCCTGGTGAAGGGAGTTGGACTGGATGGCCTTAAGTATTTTCTATTGGTCATAGGGGCTTTGTGTGGGAAGTTTGCCCCAATTTTATCATTCGTGGGGTTCAGAATGCTCTTTGATTGTAGGTGAACTATAAATCCCAGTAATTACAACTCCCAAATGTCAAGGTCTATTTCCCCCAAGCTCCTTCTGTGTTCCTAGTTGGGCATATGGAATATTCCTGCCAAGTTTGGTCCAGATCCATCAGTGTTTGAGTCCACAGTGCTCTTTGGATGTAAGTGAACTACAACTCCCAAACTCAAGGTCAATGCCCACCAAACCCTTCTAGTGTTTTTTCTTGGTCATGGGAGTCCTGTGTGCCACGTTTGGTACAATTCCATCATTGGTGGAGTTCAGAATACTCTTTGATTGTAGGTTAACTATAAATCTCAGCAGCTACAAATCCCAAATGACAAAATCAGGTTTGTTTTGAGTGATGGTCACTCCTTGGGGTAGTAGGTGTATTGTGACCGAATTTGGTGGCAATTCGTTCAGTGCTTTTTGAGTTCCGTTAATCCCACAAACGGACATTACATTTTTATTTATATAGATATATATAAACACACATCCACTGGCTGAGCAGCTGTGATGATATGGAAAATTCAAACACACCAACTATTGTTGGGCAAGGGCTAAGATTAAAATATTGAAGCCTAGTGTGTTGTTTTCATGTAAGGTTTTGGGGAGAGGATTGCTGTCTGGAATAAATTTAGAAGCAAAAGTGTGCAACATCTGGCAAACACATCCTTCAAGCAAAAAAAAAAAAGGATTCCATCATTTTAGTAATTGGAGCTAAAGCAAATCTATCTATCTATCTATCTATCTATCTATCTATCTATCTATCTATCTATTTTTAATATGTTTTATTGCATTTATATGTTTTAATTGTTTTATAATTTGATATGTTATATTTATTATTTGTTTTTGTACTTACTGCATTTATGTTTTAGTTGTTTTATAATCTGATATGTTGTTATATTTATTATTTGTTGTATGATGTGGCATTGAATGTTGCCATAATCTGTAAGCCGCTCTGAGTCCCTTCGGGGTTGAGAAGAGCGGGGTATAAATACAGTAAACAATAAATAATAATAATCTATCTATCTATCTATCTATCTATCTATCTATCTATCTATCTATCTATCTATCTATCTATCTTCAAAACCAAACTTCAAACTCCCCACCTGAAATTCCATCTACTATCGCATTATCTTTGTCTTCCCACGGTATCTTAATAACCTCCCCAAAACATCTCTCTCTGAGCCCCATTCTCATCTCCCTTTGGCTCTGAAGGATGATGCCTAGCTGTGTGAGGATGACTGGAAGCAACAAGGCGAGTAGGTCTTGATTCTTTCATAGCCCTGTACAATGCTGCTTGACATGGTTGCAACAAGGCAGCACTGTAAAGAAGCTGAAAGCACCAAGCTTTGGCAAAACCATCAACCAAGACAGAGGTGGTCACTCTTGCCTTTGGACAGCAGGCTCCTTCCTGTTATAGAATCATAGAATCAGAGTTGGAAGAGACCTCATGGGCCATCCAGTCCAACCCCCTGCCAAGAAGCAGGAATATTGCATTCAAATCACCCCTGACAGATGGCCATCCAGCCTCTGTTTAAAAGCTTCCAAAGAAGGAGCCTCCACCACACTCCGGGGCAGAAAGTTCCACTGCTGAACGGCTCTCACAGTCAGGAAGTTCTTCCTCATGTTCAGATGGAATCTCCTTTCTTGTAGTTTGAAGCCATTTTTCCATGTCCTAGTCTCCAGGGAAGGAAAACAAGCTTGCTCCCTCCTCCCTGTGGCTTCCTCTCACATATTTATACATGGCTATCATATCTCCTCTCAGCCTTCTCTTCTTCAGGCTAAACATGCCCAGCTCCTTAACCCGCTCCTCATAGGGCTTGTTCTCCAGACCCTTGATCATTTTAGTCGCCCTCCTCTGGACACATTCCAGCTTGTCAATATCTCTCTTGAATTGTGGTGCCCAGAATTGGACACAATATTCCAGGTGTGGTCTAACCAAAGCGGAATAGAGGGGTAGCATGACTTCCCTAGATCTAGACACTATGCTCCTATTGATGCAGGCCAAAATCCCATTGGCTTTTTTTGCTGCCACATCACATTGTTGGCTCATGTTTAACTTGTTGTCCTCCCTGTCATATCAGTCTCTCTTTGGCACTCCCAGAAAATTGACTTAATGACCAAATAGATTCTCCACTTTTAGCTTGGTTGACGTTTGGTTCCAAGTATCTCCCATTATTAGTCTTGACCCACTCTGCAATACTGAGATAAAAGGCAACCTGGTGTCTATTTTCTCAAGTGATGTGTGTGACTGGGTGTTGTTTCCACCTACGTCTCTCCTCTTGAACAGCAAATCACTCTATTCTTTCAGAAAAGCATTCCCACCTCAAAAGACCAAGAAGAAAACAACACAGTCTCTTGAAGGACCTGGCTTCTCTTGCACCCCTAAGTAGGGGCTTCAAAGCACCCCTTGCTGTACCTCGTTGAGGGCGCACATCCGGGCAATGGAGCCAATGTTGTTGGTGATGGTGATCAAAGCTGCTCTTGCCAGGTCTTCCTTACTAGCTGCATCTCGCTTCTCCTTGCTCATCATATTTCCAAAACTGGACAGGAAAATCCGTGCACAGAAACAAAACAATTTTAGTAGAGGGTAACACTATGTAACAAAATCTGAAAAAATATCCTGGTTTGAAAGTGTTATTTACTGTTAAATGGTGCAGTACTTATTTTGAAAGTAGCCGTTATATTCCAGAAACTTTGTTTTTGTGGCTGCCACAAACTATATTGAATTGGTTGAGACTCTAGGACAGGGATCTTCAAACTTTTTAAATAGAGGGCCAGGTCACAGTCCTTCAAACTGTTGGAGGGCCTGATTATTTTTTTAAATTTGTAAATAATAATAATAATAATAATAATAATAATAATAATTGTATCTGCAGCATGGGGCAGATATTATTGTATCTGCAGCATGGGCCAGATTATAATTATTTTTTTAAAAAGAATGAATTCCTATGCACACTGCACATATCTTATTTGTAGTGCAAAAAAAAAAACCCAATTAAAAACAATCCAATAATTAAAATGAAGAACAATTTTAACAAATATAAACTTATTAGTATTTCAATGGGAAATGTGGGCCTGCTTTTGGGTGATGAGATAAAATTGTTGTTGTTGTGTGCTTTCAAGTAGTTTCAGACTTAAGTTGACCCTGAGTGAGGGCAGGGTAAATAATAATAATAATAATAAAACTTTATTTGTACCCCGCTACCATCTCCCCAAGGGACCTTGGAGGGCCATATTCGGCCCTCGGGCTTTAGTTTGAGGACCCCTGCTCTAGGAGATATTCACTGAAAAACTACAGCAAAATGTGCTGCAGGATATCCCACAAAAACAAAGTTTTTGCAGGGTTGCTGTGAATTTTTCGGGCTGTATGGCCATGTTCCAGTAGCATTGTCTCCTGACGTTTTGCCTGCATCTATGGCAGGCATCCTCAGAGGTTTGGTCAGAGGTCTGTAGGAATAAGGCAAGTGGAGTGTATAAATATCTATGGAATGTGCAGTTTAACAAACCTTTCCATGTTTTTATGATAGAACAAATTAGGAAATAACATTTATAACCCAGGAACAAAATTGTGTTACATAGTGTAAGGGATTCATTCACAAACACATGTGCAAAATCCCGTGTGGAAACGAGAGCAGCTGTTCTACAGACACATAGGACAGCATGCTGCACTCAACCCTTCTTTGACTTCCTTCCACCCTCATCCCCAACATGCCACAAGGAGAAAGTAAGCACACGCCATAGTACTCAGAGACAAAACACTACTACAAAGAGAAAGCAAGCACTTGGAGAGTAGGGGGAATCAACAGAAAAGTAAACCAAGCCACGGCTAATCTGCCTGAGAGGGGAAAAAAGGAGAACAGACGATCCGAAAATACAACAGAAAGAAAGAGCAAACTGAGATTGTGAGTGAGTAAGTATAAAAGCTCACTTCAACTTTTACTAGGCAGTCTTGGAAAGACAGCTCCACTAAAATAACATTATGTCTTTGAGCCTCATGCCAATATTGTTAAAGCTTGGCAGATCTCCAAGTACTTTATGAAAAGTCTGGCTATTTACGAGTTTCTAGGGAAGCTGAATGTAAGAAGTATCCACAATCTTTCACTGAATTGTGAGCCCACGTTGTGGCTTGTCATGCCAGCTGACAGTGAAACAATGGAACTAACCTACAGGATGGGCTAGCCCTCTTTCTTTTTACTATGGTCAACAAACCTTGCCAGCATGTCCTCAAGTTACAGACAGGCTTATAAAGTTTACGACAGCTTATATATACATCATAAATTATGGATTGTGATATGATCCATGGATAGGTCGAAGCTCATTCCATGGAGAGGAGAAAGTGCCAGTGATCACTCACTCCCTCCCGCCATTTTCTTGCCCAAGCATTCAAAAAAGGCCGGAAACAGTGCTATGGCATGGAGAGAGGATGTGGTCAGTGCTTCTTTTAGGTTCTTCAAGGATGGATAAAACTCTTGTTTTTGCCACTCTACTCAGAGAAGGGGATGGTTCCTTTTTTGGTTACAGTACTTAACACTGACTGTTGATAAATTAACCCAAATTTTGGGAGCTAATTTTTGGAATACAATTTCTAGGCTTATGAGTTTATACAATAATTTGATTCATGGGCTTCACCAGGATAATAATAATAATAATAATAATAATAATAATAATAATAATACTTTATTTATACCCCGCTACCATCTCCCCAAGGGACTCGGTGCGATTTACATGAGGCTGAGCCCAAAGTATATCGACAGTAAAAGCAATAAGAAAACAATTAATACAACAGTTAAAATAAATCTCATAATGTACTGGATGTACTGGGTTCACTCACTGGAGGCAGGAAGCTAATACTATCCATTTATTTGACTCTTATCCTACCCCAAGAAACCCACCTCAGGTCAGACAATAATGCAACTCATAAGAATTAACACAACATGCCACATTAACCCATGCTAAAAAAAACAAAAACAGACCAGAGTCTAATACAGATTGCATATGTACTATGGGGAAGCATTACCTGGATGCCACCGTCCAGCCTGGCAGCCCAAACCTCTCGTAATCCCCTCCATAAATATCCCGGACTAATTTGTCCACTTTGGTGCTGTCCCCATGGGATGCCATCTCAAGAGCCTCTTCAAAGGTGGAGCAGCCTGTCAGAAGGCAGCACAGGCCAAAGAAGGTCCCGCCTCCAAGGCTAGTCGGGAAATAAAGGAATGTAAATAATAATTATTACAGCTCCGGGACATCACTGGAAAGAAAGTAATAATCATCACTGGAAAGAAAGCCACATCTTTCATTACCCGACATCCTACTCATAACATAAGCAGGCAATATGTTGCATAATGCATATGGAAGGTTTTTTTCTGGAGGACTATGCCATAGTTATATCCAACTGGCAGCAGAATAATAATAATAATAATAATAATAATAATAATAATAATAATAATAATTTTTGTCATGTCAGGAGCAACTTGAGAAATTGCAAGTTGCTTCTGGTGTGAGAGAATTGGCCGTCTGTAAGGACGTTGCCCAGGGGACGCCCGGATGATTTGATGTTTTTATCATCCTTACGGGAGGCTTCTCTCATGTCCCCGCATGAGGAGCTGGAGTTGATAGAGGGAGCTCATCCACGTCTCCCCAGATTCGAACCTGTGACCTGTCAGTCTTCAGTCCTGCCGGCACAGGGGTTTAACCCACTGCACCACCGAGGACTCCAATAACAATAATAATAATCTTTATTTATACCCCGCCACCATCTCCCAAATGGGGACTCGGGGTGGCTAACATGAAGCCAAGCCCAAAACATAGTACAACCAAATAATATACAAGACAATAGAAAATAAATACAACAGATACATAATACATCAAAATAAAATAAGCAATACAAAAACATAATAAAAGCACTCACAATGGGCGGGCCAAGTGTGCAAAATAAGATGCTAAAAACATTTAAAACGCTGGGTGAGATAGGAAGTAGAAAAGGTGTATTTGTAACAGAGGAGTCCGAGACTGGGGAGCAGTGGGACTTGGGCTTCATTAGGGGTAGGGGAAAGTGCATCATGTAAACAAACTGTAGGTGGAGACTTACAAAAAACGAGTTGGGTGATCGCTCTCCAAAGGCACATCTTTCTTAAAACCTGCTAGGGTGGAGGCTTGCCTAATCTCACCTGGTAGTGAGTTCCAAAGTCGGGGGGCCACAGCGGAGAAGGCTCTCTCCCTCATACCCACTAATATAAGTACCACTAGGCTATTACACATTAAAGACGTATTGTTGGGAGAGTGGGCTTATTAACAAAAGACACTCTACATAAATGTAGGGCAAAGTAACTTAGCAGCAGCGGCATGACCCAACACCAGTAGCTCAAAGTGATCAAAAGAACAAAAACACACAGACCAATGTTATCCTGTCCATGGGAGGCTTTTCTTTGTAGTAAAATAATATGGTTGCGCTATTTACAAGAACAAGGTTTCTATAACACAAATAAAGTTCTTTATACTTTCTTCTCTGCTTCCATGCTGGGCTTCCTCCTCATGCAAATAAACAGTTTCACTCTCACAGAGCCTCCTCTCACAATGAACTTATACCGGAGTTTCACCCAGTAGCTTTTTACATACAGCAGCCTTTATACTGGAGCTTTGCACATGAGGCCCTCAACCTGGAGCTTCTCTCACCAAAGCCTTCTCTCACAATGGACTTATACCGGAGCTTCACCCAGTAGCTTTTTACATACAGCAGCCTTTATACTGGAGCTTTGCACATGAGGCCTTCAACCTGGAGCTTCTCTCACCAAAGCCTTCTCTCACTCTGAGGCCTTCTCACAGACTAAGGCCTACCTCACACAGAAGCTTCTCTCACAGACAAAAGCCTACCTCACACAGAAGCTTCTCTTACAAAGGCCTACCTCACACAGAAGCTTCTCTCACAGACTAAGGCCTACCTCACACTGTGAGGCTTTCTCACAGACTGAGACTTTTCTCCCACTGAGGTTTACCTCAGACTGGCAGCTACTAAGCTATAGGTACACCTACTTATACTGAACTGCAGCTTTTTGCTGAGTAATTGCATCCATTTAACCCTTTCAGTGCTTAACTCACATTTTGATTTCTGACAAGTATGTGTATGCGCATTGTCCGAATTGTGCTTTGCGCACTGCAATTGCATAACAGATGGTCAGACATAAACATTGATCCACATACATTGCTCCAAGCAGCCATTCAGTATAAGGATTGCATAGCATAACTCTGCCACCAGATATTTATGCTATGCTGAGATTAGATCAGGTGTGGGAAAACTTGGACCTCCAGGTATTTTGGACTTCAACTCCCACAATTGTGGGAATTGAAGACCAAAACACCTGGAGGTCCCAAGTTTGCCTACACATGGATTATATGTGGGATCTCACTTATTTCCTAATGGAAATATAGTTACTGTATACACTCGAGTATAAGCCTAGTTCTTCAGTCCGTTTTTTAGGCTGAAAAAGTCTCCCCCGGCTTATACTCGAGTCAAGGTAATTTATTATTTTACTTTGTTGTTGTTATTATTATTAAATTTATTATTGTTGCTGTTATTATTACATTTATTATTTTACTCTATTATTACTGTTATTATTACATTCCATTATTTTACTCTATTATTATTATTATTATTATTATTATTATTTTACTCTATTTATTATTATTGGAGGATACATAAGCATATTTATATTTAAAAAGGTTAGAATAATGGTTTGATCGGAGTTGGACAGTTTTATCTTGAATTACAGTTTTATGTAAATATTAAAAAACATTTAACTTACTGATGCCTAAATTAATATAATTTATTGGTATCTATTTTTATTTTGAAATTTACCAGTAGCTGCTGCATTTCCCAACCTCAGCTTATATTCGAGTCAACCCACTTTCTCAGTTTTTTGTGGTAAAATTAGGTGCCTCGGCTTATATTCGGGTCGGCTTATACTTGAGTATATACGGTAATTAGCTGGCATTCTGCGAAGAACAGATCTCATCACACCATTCTTACAGGTGGATAGAGAAAATCCATCCTCATTTTAGACTCCAGGGACAAGAGCAATTCATATTTTCCTCTGCACAAAGGAAGTCCCACTAAGTTAGTTGAAGCTCATTCCTGCAACCACCATCACCAGCTATCACCATGACAAACGTGTACCCATGACCATGAGGGATGCCATTTGGTTACACGTGTGACATTCATAAGTGCATTCATGGCTTATGAGACCCTAAATAATTCCCCTCCCCACTTCCAAGTCTCACCTGGTCCCAGTCACCCGCTTGTAATTGTCTTTGGAATACACAGCTAGGATGCTGACCCCTGAGCCGATGTTCACCAGAAGGAGAGGGTAAGGATTCTCCAGATTGAAGGGGAGCTTCTCACATTTCTCAGGAATGGTTGGGTTTTCAAAGTAATAGCACTCTGAGTGTCCATTGAACCCGACCGAATCAATGTACAAAACTCCTCTAATAAGGCAATCGAGTTCATCCATTTTGCGGAGCTGGAGGTCTCCCACCTGTTTAGAGAAAAAAGCTTTGAAGAGGATCTCATATTACATCTTTGGGAGGGACAATGTTCATCTTACGTTTATCTTGAAAGCAGCAACCTATTTATTGCAAGCTGAGTTCCAGGACTACCAAACTCTGACATTCACAAGCACCAATGGGAACAGTTTGTTCAAGTTTGTATCAGTGCTCTAAGTTAGGCACCCTATCATAGTTAGCAGTGGGCTCATTTGGAAGAATATTTGTTTACATGAAACTGATTTCAGGTTTCATTATTTAAGAACTTTCTATTATTTGATACTAAGTTCAAACAGGAGGAATGAATATCTTAAATCTAAAAGAATCCCACACCTTATGTGACTGTGGAGCAGAACACACAACCCCGCATCTATATGCTTGTCCACTATGTCCTGCCTCACGTACAGAGGAAGAATTGTTGGAGGCTATGACAATGCCATTGCTATTGCCCGTTTTTGGTCAAAAGATATTTAGCCACCTGCAATCCTTCTATTTTTATTGGTTTTATACCAATTTATGCAATGTTTTTTATACGAAATAAAATAAATAAATATCTTAATAAATATAGTCAGCCCCCACAGAGAACTATGTGAAAGTTTTTTAAAAGAACACCTCTCTAGGAACCTATAGGTCATCTTTAAGAACCATAGAGGCCGGCTTTAGGATAGCAGGTTAATCACCAGCTGCAGCTGCAGTAAATGAACTGAAAGGTTGACACTTCAAAGCTGGTCAGGGTGAGCGCCTGACCTTCAGTCCAGCTCCCCACCCAACTAGCGGATTGAAAACAGCAATGTGAGTAGAGGAATAGGAACTGCATTAAGCAGGGAGGTATTTTAGACATGATATTCAGATGAAAGTTTATAAACAAAGAAAGCTCTTTGGCAAAGAGATGGAACAACAGCACCCTCCTGTGGCCGGAACCGAGCACAGCCTCCAAAAGATACCAAATGAGAAAAAACCTAAATATATTGTTGAAGGCTTTCGTGGCTGGAATAATAATAATAATAATATAATAACACTTTACTTATACCCGGCTACCATCTCCCCAAGGGACTTGGTGTGGCTTACATGAGGCCGAATCACTGGGTTGCTGTAGGTTTTTCAGACTATATGACCATGTTCTAGAAGCATTCTCTCCTGATGTTTAATCTGCATCTATGGAAAGCATCCTCAGAGCTCACAACCTCTGAGGATGCTTGCCATGGATGCAGGTGAAACGTCAGGAAGGAATGCTTCTAGAACATGGCCATATAGCTCGAAAAACCTACAACAACCTAAATATATCTCTATCTGTGTCTGTCTTGCCATTGCATAATTGGCACTGAATGTTTGCTGTATATGTGTCCTGTGATCTGCCCTGAGTCCCCTTTGGGGTGAGATGGGTGGAATATAAGTACTGTAAATAAATAAATAATCTGGCAGAAGTAAATAAATAAATAATCTGTCAGAAGGGGGTTGGACTGGATGGCCCATGAGGTCTCTTCCAACTCTAAGATTCTATGACCAAAATTGTGCTGAAGGACCTGGAGACCATATTAATCAAATCTGCAATAATCAACTCTGCAAAACTAAAACATGCTAATGTAGAGGGATGACTGTAAAAGCAAAAACAGAAGAATCCTGTGAAACAGAGGTATGGAACCAATGGTGTAGGCATCTGAGAGGCAGAGTAATTGAGTCAAGAAGGATCTGCTGAGCTTTGGAGGCAAATGGGCAGCAACTAGGCTAATTTGGACCAGACACAGATGGTGAACTACTCTCATGTTGGACCAAATGAATTCAAAATGGCAATGCAGAATCAGATTGTTGTCAACCAACACTGTCTTTGTGTGCTGGAGTAAAACATACTGAAGAAGGATAAAATGAAAACTGATCTCTGCAAAAGTCCCATAGCAAACAGTAAAATTGGAAACATGAAATAATAGCAAAGAGAGAGGAAAAGCTGCCAACAGTGATATGAAAAGAAACCGTCTTCATCCCTTTCCCACCTGTACTTGAAATAACAAAGAATGGGTTTCAATGTGTGAGTCTACATTTGGAGCACGTATATAATAGGATGCAGGCACAAAAATCATTTATCAAACATTAATCACCACATTTAAACAGAAACTGGGTGCCAGTCAAGCCAAAACATGTTAACTATTGAGATGTCAATGACGACACTTTGGCAGCCAGCATTAATAATAACTGGTGTTTTGATTGCCCAGCTCTTCTGGTTATTTCAAGGAATGGAAGGCCAATTTGGACAAGTAAGAGTTCCTTATTCCATCTTATGGCGCTCTTACGTTCAAACTGGAAAACAAGGCTTCCACTATACTGAGAAATATAAATACTAGAGAAATATGAAAGTATACTCAGACTCTACTTTGCAAGCTTCGACACAAGTGCTATTGCAGCGTTAAGGGTATATAAGCCAAAAATTGCATACTGTGCGAAAGTCCTGCTCAAACTTATATGCTCCACCTCCTGTGGCACATAAGGTTGTGTGGAGGCTTGAGAAGTGTTTATCTTTGCCCATTTGAATAAAAGCAGGCATATCATGGGTAGGAAAGCGTATAAAGTGCAGATTGCCTTTACGTCCACACAGCGTAAGGTCCTTTAGTTCAAGGTGCACATCCCGGATTCCGGTGGAGCCATAAGCAGTGTTGGAGGTCAAGTACTTCCGGATGCTCTTCAGGTTCTCCACTTCCTCTTCCTCCTCCTCCATGGTAATGTCCTTTGGTTCAAAATAAACAAGCTTCACCAGGGTGCCTCCGATATCCAAGCCGAACCAAGGAAATGCTAAAGGAAGAAGGGAGAAAAGGATCACAATGCAGATCGTATGTGTATACAGTCAGTCCCCAAGTTACGAGCAAGATAGGCTCTGTATGTAAGTCGGAACAGGCAGCATAGAGAAAGGCTAATACCCCTGTGGTGCTTGTTTTGCTGTCTGTGCCTCTCTTCACTTTCTGTCCCTGGGATCATTGGATTTTGAAAAACTTGTGGAAAGGATTGGTGTGGAAACTTCAGTGGGGACTTCTTTTTCCCATGACAACTCTTCCAGAAGTGACTTTCCCTTCCAAGGAGATTTCTTTCACTTCCTGTTGTCTCAGCCCCATTTTTCACAAGGAGTAATTTGTAAGCCAGATGTTTGTAACTCAGGGCCTGCTTCTATGTACCAGTATCAGTGACTCAACACTTATTATGGGCGCTAGAAACAATATCATATGAAAGCTGACTGGCACAACCTGGGGATCACAACCAGACACAGTGAAGACATCTGCCCTTACGCTTTGCTACTCTGCTGCTGAGTATGCATGCCCAGTGTGGAACACATCTCACCATGCTAAAACAGTGGATGTGGCTCTTAATGAGACATACCACATTATCACGGGGTGTCTGCACCCTACACCACTCGGGAAATTACACTGTTTAGCTGTTATTGCACCACCTGACATCCGCTGGGAAGTAGCAGCCAATAGTGAAAGGACCAAGACAGAGACATCTCCAGCCCACCCCGTTTGGGTATCTGCCAACACGTCAACAATTTAAATCAAGAAATAGTTTTCTTAGATCTACAGAGACACTCGCTGGAACACCTCAGCAAGCAAGAGCCCAAAAGTGGCAGGCTAAAACCCAGAACCTCAATCAATGGTTGATAACAAATGAGAGACTCCCTCCTCGCCACACAGAAGACTGGGTGACGGAAGGCGCTGAACAGACTGCACTCTGGCACCACGAGATAGAGAGCCAACCTGAAGAAATGGGGCTACAAAGTTGAATCCACAACATGCGAGTGTGGAGAAGAGCAAACTACAGACCGTCTGCTGCAATGCAACCTGAGCCCTGCTACATGCACAATGGAGGACCTTCTTATAGTAACACCAGAGGCACTCCAAGTGGACAGCTACTGGTCAAAGGACATTTAATCAACTACCAAGTCTGCAAACTTTGTGTTTTGTTTGTTTGTTTGTTTTTGTTAAAAAATGCAATACAGCTGTTTGGTTTGCTTCTGACACGATAAATAAATAACACTTATTGTGTTGGGTTGTTGTGTGTTTTCCTGGCTATACGGCCATGTTCCAGAAGCATTCTCTCCTGATATGTGGCCTGAATCTATGGCAGGCATCATCAGAGGTTGTGAGTTTATTGTGTTGTTGAAGGCTTTTATGGCCGGAATCGGGATGTATGGCCATGTTCCTCAACAGTTATCCCTACAAACAACAAGCTGGACTATATGAGATCATGGAAGACAGCAATGTGTCACCACAAAAACCTTTTTAAAAATTAGATTAACAGGTTAGAAATTGAAATACTAGCAAAACTACAGACAGTTTCATCCTTTGTAAAGTGTGTGCTTTCCATACCTGAAAGAAAATTATAAGGACAACACTAACTCTACCTGCTTTGTCATTCCCATGTAGAAAATGAATGTCTACTTCTGGACATCAAACTCATTTTCATCGAGGGCCACATCAGCCTTATAATTGCCTTTGAAGGGCCACTGAATCCATGGAAAGAGAATCCATGGATACAGAGGACCAACTATATATTTATTTACATAGTGGTTAGCACTCTAGTTTTTACCCAATTTGGATCCATCACTTTTCTGCCATGCAAACTGGGTAAACAAAATTAAGAAAGATATGTTTCTATCTTCTACAAAATTCGTACAGGGAGCATACAACACCCTGTTGCGTCAGCTCCACTGGCTGTCAGTCTGCTACCGAGCACAATTCAAAGTGCTGGCTTTAGCCTATAAAGCCCTAAATGGTTCCAGCTCAGTTTATTCGCCTGAATGCATCTCCCCATGAACCATCTTGGGGGTTAAGATCTTCTGGGGAGGCCCTGCTTTCGATCCCACCTCCTTCGCAAGTGTGATTGGTGGGGACAAGAGACAGAGCCTTCTCAGTGGTGGCTCCTCGGCTGTGGAATTCCTTCCCCAGTGAAATCAGATCAGAAAGAAAGACCAAGCCTTTGGTCAGTAAAGGAATGCAGTGCTAGAAATGGATATGAAATACGTGCAACTGATAACTGGATTGGCTTCGAATTAAGATTTTGGACTGCGAGGTTTTTAAATGTTGTTGCTAAGATGTTTTAATGCTATGATTTTAATGTAATTGTTTATTTTAATTGTTTTATATGACACTGAGTTGTTGCTTATCTGTAAGGCTGCTCTGAGTCCCCTTCAGGTTGAGAAGGGTGGGGTATAAATATGGTAAATAAATAAATAAAATACAAAAGGAGGAAGAGGAGGGAGAACAGTTTCCCATCTCAAAGCTTAAACATTTTATAGATAGATAGATAGATAGGCACACATAAACACACACACACATACTATAGATAGCTAGATAGACAGACAGATGCATTGATAGCTAGATAGATAGATAGATAGATAGATAGACAGACAGACAGAGATAGATGATAGATGCGTGTGCCTGTGTGTGCATATCTATCTATCTATCTCTCTCTCTCTCTCTCTCTCTCTCTCTCTCTCTATATATATATATATATATATATATATATATATATATACACACACAACATTTTAGGATTGCAAATATTTTGGAAAAGCATACACGCAAAGGCTCAAAATTTGCCAAATGTATGCTGACAGAGAAGAAAATGGAAGATTTTTTGGAATATCTGCAAACCTTCTTTAAACGAGACTGGACCTCCACAAGGTCTCTAAATGCAACTTTGCAACCACACAGCAAGTTTCACCGATAATGATTGAAATACGTGACACTGCAGTATGTCCTGATGTCCATTTCCCATCCACATAGCTATAGCTTGTGTCAGTGTGTACATTCACACACATGCTGACACGACTCAGCTCTCAGATGCATAAAACCGAAGCTCAAGCCATTATATAACCCTGACCACACCTTTAGCAATGCCTCCATATCCTTTGCAGTTCATCAGTTGCAACGAGAGAATCTGAAGCTACAAACCTCATATTCATTATTCCACCAGCCCAAGACTCAGATTTAAGGAAAAGCAGAGAGCTGCCGATGGTATGTAATCCAGTCTTTTGACATGTAAGAAAGCTTGGCATAATCTCTGCAGCTAGCTGTCATCAGCTCCTTTGGTTTTCCTCACACTGCATTAATTATCATCTGCAATTACACAAAGCTAGCTTGGTGACATCCATCTCTGAATTGCCTTCATGACCATCTGACACCTATCTCAAAGCTGCTTGTCTTTGGTTTGTCCCTTTCACAAAGGTCTGACCCCATTCAATAACATCACCATTAATTTTATCTAGCAAGCATCATGAATTTCTGCATACCTTCTTTCCTTCTCGCCTCTAGATCTATTTATAAATGCGTAAGTCTAGATATTTTAATCAAAAATCTACCTCAAAACCTGGGTTAACTTATCCAAAGGTCAATACTGTGCCTTAGCTCTTATAGGCAGCATGGTGCTTTCCCTTTTCTGTGCAATGACCCTTGATTTACTGATGGGTCATATCAAAATTCGTAACTTTGGCTCCAAACCCTTCCCATGGCTTATACAGTACAGGAGATTGACTTATATACATGTGCATTTATGGCAAATCACTCCTTTTTATCTTCAAATTAACTGAACTAGAACAGCTGTCTTGCACACTCCAGATCTCAAGTCAACATCACAAACATATTTTTGTAATTACGAAGGGCTTAAATACTGAATCAAGTCTTTTCAGGTGCATCTACACTGTAGAATGAATACAGTTTGATATCACTTTAACTGCAGTGTCTCAATGGTACGGAATCATGGGACTTGTAGTTTGATAAGGCACCAGCACTCTTTGGCAGAGAAGGGTTGAGATCTTGCTAAATGTTTGCATATTTTTAAGGTTTAAATCAGTGATGGGCAACCTTTTGAGCTTGGTGTGTCAAAATTTGCCAAAAACCTGAGCATAACTTGGGTGGAGTGTCACTTTGAGAAAAAAAAACCACATAATTTTGCAATATTTATAGTTTAAATAAGAAAAATGTATAATCCGTGCTGAGTTATGGAGTGAACAATGCTCAAATGTGCAGATGTTAAATTTGTAGAGCCTTTTACAAATTTAAGGATGGAATTAGATTGGCTCTTATAAGGTGTATTTCTCTGTATGTGGCCGCATGTGTCTGTGTGTCATCAAAAATAGCCATGCGTATCAGTGCTGACACACGTGTCATAGGTTCACCATCATGGGTTTAAATGGTATTGAATTAATTGTTTTGAAAGCTGCTTTGAGTCTCATTTGTAGGTACAAACATACATCTTAATAAATAATAATAATCTAGTTAAAAATGAGAGGCAAACCACACTGAAAGATACTAAGAAATAGAGATGAGGAACCTGATTCAAGGGCTCAGTCTCTTTAAACTTCATTCTGAAAGGCTCCCCTTCTGCCTCCCACTTATGCACATACCACTATATACAATGACATCATAAAGTTCTTAATTTTCTCAGGCATTTCATTCAATCCATTCTGCTTCACTTGGAAAGCCTTTGGCTACATGTCTGGGCTGCTTCTGTTGCTCTTCCTATCCTCAGAATATACCATTTCCACGAAAATAAGACCTAGCATGATTTTTCAGGATGCTTGTAATATAAAACCCAAAAAAAGACCCAGTTAAGATTGTCAGCCAGACAGATGCATTTGCCAATAGTACCAGGTTGCAACATGTGATGGATAATAATAATAATAATAATAATAATAATAATAATAATAATAATAGTTTATTTATACCCCACTACCATCTCCCCATGAAACTCGGTGCGGCTTACATGAGGCCGAGCCCAAATACAACAATACAAGCAATTAAAATCAAACATAGACAATAAAACAATAACGTAAGCATTAACAATAAGACAACACACTATTAAAAACTATGGGAAGGCCAAATGTATACACTGAATTATAAAATAATAATAATAATAATAATAATAATAATAATAATAAAAGATGCATCAATACTATTATTGATATCAATGTTTAAAATTATAGTATACATTTTGGAGAGTTATAAGGATGTTCCAGAAGATGACAGGAATGTATTTCAATAAATGTAGATTGTTGTACACAAATACATGTAGGTTGTGTATATGAATAAATGTACATTGTTGAACATCCAAAATAAATGTAGAATGAGATATATGAATAAATGTACATTGTTGTATATGAAGAAATGCAGATTGTTGTACATAAATGAATGTAGATTGTTGAACATAAAAAATAAATGAATGTAGAATGTTCTACATAGATAAATATAAAATGTTCTACATAGATACATGTTTGTTGTACATGAAGAAATGCAGATTGTTGTACTTCAATACGTGTAGATTGTTGTACATAAATAAATGCAGATTGTTGTACATGAATAAATATAGGTTGTTGTACAGGAAAACATAGAAAATTGAGATAGTTGTACATAAGTAAATGTAAATTGTCATACATGAAAAAATGAATAAATGTAGATTGTTGTACATGAAGGAATTGAGAAATGTAGGTCATTGTACATAAATAAATGTAGATTATTATACACAAAGAAATGAATAAATGTAGATTGTTGTACATAAATAAATGTAGATGGTTGTACATGAAGAAATGAAGAAATGAAGATTGCTGTACATAAATAAATGTAGATTGTCATACGTGAAAAATGAATAATTATAGATTATTGAACATGAAAAAATGAATAAATGTAGATTGCTGTATATTAATATATATTGTTGTACATGAAGAAATGTAGAGTGATGTACATAAATGTAGATTGTTGTACATGAATAAATATATATTGTACATTAATGGTGATTGTTGTACGTGGAAAAAAAATCCCTGAAAATAAACCGTAATGCATATACTGAAGCAAAAAAATAATATAAGACCCAGTCTTATTTTCAGGAAAATACATGTGTGTGTGATATATATATATGCACACATATATATTACAAATAATATTTGTATATGTATATATATATGTTGGTGTGTGTGTATATATATATATATATATCCTGTGTGTGTGTATGCCTTTTTAAAAACTTGACTGCTGAAATGATGCCATGTTACCGAATCTACTTATTCTATACAATAAAATACCATTTCTCCAAAGGCAGAGAAACAGCAAGAATGGACACAGAATATTATATGTGTGTGTGTGTAATATATATATATATATAATTTTAATATTATAATGTATATATGTGTTTTAATTATAATATAATATTATAATATATTAAATATTATATAATTATACATATTATAATATAATTATAATATTATAATATATATGCAGCTTGGGAGTGATCCTGGACTCATCGCTGAGCCTGGAGCCCCAGGTTTCGGCGGTGGTCAGGGGAGCTTTTGCACAATTAAAACTCATGCGCCAGCTGCGCCCGTACCTTGGGAAGTCTGACTTGGCCACGGTGGTCCACGCTTTGGTTACATTCCATTTAGATTACTGCAACGCTCTCTACGCGGGGTTGCCTCTGAAGACTGCCTGGAAGCTTCAATTAGTCCAACGTGCGGCACCCAGGTTACTAATAGGAGCGGGGTACAGGGAGCATACTACTCCTCTGTTGCCCCAGCTCCACTGGCTGCCAGTCAGCTTCCGAGCACAATTCAAAGTACTGGTGTTAACCTATAAAGCCCTAAATGACTCCGGTCCAATATACCTGTCCGAACATATCCTCCCCTATGAGCCATCAAGATTACTAAGATCGTCTGCTGTTGATCCCACCGGCCCCACAGGCGTGGCTGGTGGGGATGAGACAGGGCCTTCTCGGTGGTGGCCCCTCGACTCTGGAACTCCCTTCCACTGGAGCTCAGAACTGCCCCTTCGATCTTAACGTTCAGAAAACAGGTGAAAACCTGGCTTTGGGGATTGGCATTCAATGAATGAGCCATGATCCTGTGATATGGATGGATGACGACGAATAATGACTTTGATGATGACTGACCACTGTAATCATATGATTGTATTTTTGCCATTTTAATTGTTTCAATGTTTTAATGTTTTAGTGTGATTTAGAAATATGATGTTTTAATGACGGTCTGTAATATTGATGTTGGAAACTGGCCCGAGTCCCTCGAATGGAGGTGAGAAGACCGGTATACAAAACTACCAAATAAATAAATAATAACAAATATAATATATACATTATAATATTATAATGTATATATGTGTATATATTTTTTTGTGTGTGTTTTAGTGTTGCTTTTTATTTACTGTCCCAATTTTAGAGTTTTTTAAATACTGTCAGCCAGATTTTGTTCATTTTCATGGTTTTTCCTCCTTTCTGTTGAAATTGTCCACATGCTTGTGGATTTCATTGTCTTCTCTGTGTAGTCTGACATGGTGGATTGTTAGAGTGGTCCAGCATTTCTGTGTTCTCAAATAAAATGCTGTGTCCAGGTTGGTTCATCAGGTGCTCTGCTATGGCTGACTTCTCTGGTTGAAGTAGTCTGCCTTGCCTTTCATGTTCCTTGATTCGTGTTTGGGCAATGCTGCGTTTGGTGGTCCCTATGTAGACTTGTCCACAGCTGCATGGTATATGGTAGACTCCTGCAGAAGTGAGAGGATCCCTCTTGTCCTTTGCTGAACGTAGCATTTGTTGTATTTTCTTGGTAGGTCTGTAGATAGTTTGTATGTTGTGTTTCCTCATCAGCTTCCCTATGCAGTCAGTGGTTCCTTTGATGTATGGCAAGAACACTTTTCCTCTGGGTGGATCTTCATCTTTACTCTCTTGGCTTGTTCTTGGTCTTGCAGCTCTTCTGATGTCTGAGGTGGAGTATCCATTGGCCTGGAGAGCCCAGTTGAGGTGGTTCAGTTCATCTTGGAGGAGGTGGGCTTCGCAGATTCTTTTTGCACGGTCTGCCAAGGCTTTAATGGTGCTTCTTTTTTGACTTGGGTGATGGTTGGAGTTTTTATGTAGATATCTATCTGTGTGTGTGGGTTTTCTGTAAACGGTGTGACCCAATTGTTGATCTGGTTTGAGGATGACTAGGACATCTAGAAAAGGCAGTCTTCCTTCCTTTTCTTTTTCCATGGTGAATTGGATGTTTGGGTGGATGCTGTTCAGATGTTCCAGGAACCTGTTGAGTTCTTCTTCTCCATGGCTCCAAATAGTGAAAGTGTCATCCACATATCTGAACCATATCGTGGGCTTTTTTGTTGCTGTTTCCAGAGCTTGAAATCCACAAGCATGTGGACAATTTCAACAGAAAGGGGAAAACCATGAAAATGAACAAAATCTGGCTACCAGTATTAAAAAACTCTAAAATTACAACAGCAAAACAGCAGAGAGGAAACAACCAGGCACATCTTAACACCTCTCAACAGAACATTTTCCCAGGCTCAGCCAGGCCTTCAAATGCTAATGAAGGTGGTCAGCTGAAACATTCACACCTAGCTCCAGCAGACAAGAGTCCTTTGCCCCACCCCAGCCATTCCACAGATATATAAACCCATTTCCTCACTACCTCTGAGGATGCTTGCCATAGATGCAGGCGAAACGTCAGGAGAAATGCCTCTAGAACATGGTCCTATAGCCCGAAAAAACCCACAAGAACCTAGAAATAACATTACTCCAAAGACAGAGAAACAGCCAGAATTGAAAAGAGAGAGCAGTGCTAAGCCCCGCCCAGCTGGAGGCTAAGCCCCGCCCCTCGCCTTAGACACGCCCCCTTCCTCCCTCGCCCCGCCCCCTTCCTCCTTCCCCTCAGAGCAGCCATTGCGGCCTAGCGACTCACGGGGCCTGTTCTTGCGTAGGGAGTCGAGGCGCGGGCGACAAGCGGAGCTGTGCTTCCTGGCTTCGCTCCCGGCGGCCAGGGCTGGCGGCGGCGGCGCCTCGGCTCCCTTGTTGCCGCTTCCATTCCTCCGCGGCTCCATCCGTCTCCATTCGCCGCCGAGAACGCTCACTGCGCCTGCGCCAACCGCCCGCCTCGTTCCTTCAGGGAAAAGGGAAGAAATACGCTTCTAGCCAATCAGAGCCCGCTTCTGTCCAAATCCAGCCAATAAGAGAAAGAGAAAAGTGGGGAAGGTGGGGCACTGAGTGATCTCTCACCCAATCAGCGTTTCTCGCTTCAGGAGATTGACAGCACAAAAATTAACCCAGTGCTGAGAAGGATTAGACTTCGAGGGGGCGGGGCGAGAGATGGATTCGTTCCAGCCAATCGTTTTCTGCGGAGGCGAGAGTGGCAGGAATTCCTTCCAATGAGATTAATTCTGGAATAGTATTAAACCAATTGCAATATATTTAAAAGGTTAGGGGGATGGGGGGATTCTGTGGGAGTTGTTTGTGGATGGAATGGAAAGCTTTTGTTGGGGGACTGATAGATTCGTGGTGGCTTTATTGGGGGATGGGGGATGTGGATGGATTGTTGTGGTGTGGATGGGTGGCGGTGGGGTTGGTGGTGTTGGCGGACGTTGGTGGGATTGGGGTTTCTGTGTATGTTGTGGCGCTGGGGTGGGAATGGGTTAGGGAGGGGTGTGATGGCTGGGGGTTGTGGGCTTTTGGAGTGCTGGATGGGGTAGGTTGATGGTTTGGGGTTTGGACTGTTTTGGGAGGTGGATGTGGAGGACTCAGGGTGTGGGGATTAGAGTTGGAGGATTTGAGGAATGGGGATTCGTGTTTGGAGGAATGGGGGGTTCTGGACTTGGGTGGATTGGTGGGGTGGATGTACGGGGGTGGTGGGGTCTGGGTAGAGGGTTGTCGAGGGGGACTTGGGAGGTGGGGGGGACCTCCACCGGATGTTTGGGATTTACTTGTGGAGGGGTTGTGGGACGGGGATTGGAGGAATTGCGGATTGGGGTTGGTGGCGGGAGGAATTAGGATGCGGGGCCCGGGAGAGTGGTGGATTGTGCGTGGATGGTATTGTAGGGGAGGAGTGTTTGGGATGGATTGGATGGGGCTGGGGGGGAAGGGAGGGTGGATTTCTATGCGGGGGTGGAGGAGGCTCGGTTTGGTTTGGACCGGAGTTGGGTTCTGGGGGATGTGGGAGGGGGTAGGGTGGTTATTCTGTGGTTTGAGGTCGGGAGGTTTGTGTAAATATTGCGATTCTTTTCTTTTGGGGTGTTGGGGGGAGTCGGAGATTGTGGGGTTGTTGGTCTAATGTGGTGGATGGGTTTTTTTTGGTTGGAGGGGGTTTACACATGGTGTCGGGACTCCTGAGGGAGGATCATGGGGGGGGGGGGTAGTTGGTTGGTGGAAGGGAGTGGGTTTTGGGTGGGGTTTGGGTGTTGTAGGATCGGGGTGCCGGTTGGGACTTGGTTTGTTCTGGTTGGTCTGCGTTTTTGGTGGCTTGGTGTGGAGAGTGGTTGTGTGTTTGGGGGTTTTATGGGGAACTGGTTAGATTGGGATGGAGTGTGGTGTGGAGGTACCGGTTATGGAATGGGATTGTGTGGTGGCTTACTTGTGTGTAGGTCGGTTGGTGTGTTGGTTGGGGAGTGTAGGACTGGGGTTTGGGGAGGGCGGTGAGTTGGGGGGTGTGGATTTTGGGGAATAGTGGTGGGGGTGTTTGGGTGGTGGTGGTGGTGGATGGTGTGGTAGGAGGATTAGGTGGGAGGGAAGGGAATAGGAGATGGGGGGGGATGTTGTGGGCAGTTGGATGGGAGGGCGATGTTGGATGTTAGTGGAGGTAGGACGGAGTGTTGGTTGGGGGTTGGGGGAATCTGCGTTGATTGGAGTGGAGGATGGGGTGGGAGGGGGGGGGTGGCTTGAGGTGGGTTTGTATGGTTTGATTTTTGAGGGATGATTTATTGTGGGGGAATTTTGGTTGGATTTGGGGGGAGTGTGTGTCGGGGATGTTGTAGGTTGGGGTTGGATGGGTTGTGGAAGGATTGGGCTTTTTGGTGGAGGGCTTCAGGAGATTGACAGCACAAAAATTAACCCAGTGCTGAGAAGGATTAGACTTCGAGGGGGCGGGGCGAGAGATGGATTCGTTCCAGCCAATCGTTTTCTGCGGAGGCGAGAGTGGCAGGAATTCCTTCCAATGAGATTAATTCTGGAATAGTATTAAACCAATTGCAATATATTTAAAAGGTTAGGGCTGCATTAAATGGTCAGTGTAGACGCGCAATGCATAAGAGTGGAGGAAAGGAAAATTAGGGTGGGAAAATATATTTAATTTTCTTTAGGAGAGAAAAGGGGGCATAATAATGATGATAATGATAATTGATAATGATAATAAATAATAAATAATATAATAATATTATATTATTAATTTATTTTTATATATATATATATATATATATATATATATATATATATATAATATTATATTAAATAATGATAATAATAAGCCGCTGGACCTCTCAGCGGCCTTCGATACCGTCGACCACGGTATCCTTCTGGGACGCCTCGCGGGGATGGGTCTTGGAGGTACTGTTTTGCAGTGGCTCCGGTCATTCCTAGAGGGTCGATCTCAGAAGGTGTTGTTGGGGGACACCTGTTCAACCCCACAACCATTGTCTTGTGGGGTTCCTCAGGGCTCAATATTGTCTCCCATGTTGTTTAACACTCAAGTGTGATGGCAAGAGCCGCCGCCATGTAATTGGTCTGCACGGCGGCAGGGAGTTCCGCAGTTCCCAGTGGTCACCAAGGGAGAAAAACGGATGGAATATGCCCCAGCCAGCAGCTCAAAGCAAAGGACTGCATGAAGTTTTCTTTCACTTTCCCCTCTCCCTATCTTTGTAACCAATCCCTCAATAAAACACTTAAGTTTTGAAACTTTGAATCCTCTCCGCATGATACTTTGTGTCTTTTTACTGACTGCAGCCTTTCTAACTCGCCCCAAATCTTTTTCTGAGCTCCGGGGAACCGTGAGCTCACTGGGGACGCCTTCCTGGCCTCCCCAGGCCTCCGAATTTGCGTTAGTCCAAATCGCGGATACGGAGGTTTTCCTATTGGCCCCCCTTATCCGCCAAAACAACAACATGGCGGATCGGGCCCGTTCAAATTTTATATTTTTCTACACTAAATTCTAAGACTAACTGCTATCTTGGTTTTCTCATTTTGGACTCCTGCACTCGTGAAATAATTGTTTTTGTTTAATCATTAAAATTCGGCCGAGCCACCAGCTGATTGTCAAAATTCGCCGGCTTTTGCCGCTTGCTTCACTCCCTTCGTCGCTGCTCGCTCCAGCATGGCTCCCGCCGCCTGCAATCAACCCCGACTGCCCAAGAGGAAGCCTTGGAAGTGGGGACCGGGCAGGGAAGGCCCGATCCCCGGTTGGGAGCGCTAGTTCCACCAAGGACAGGACAGCGGAACGTAGCTCCCCCCCTTAGCTCCAGCTCCTGTTTCAATAATGAACTGATCTCCTGATGGCCAGCCTAAGCCATAGGCTGGCCCCTGCCTCCAGAAACCCCTCCGTCTAGGCTTTTGGGATTTCTAGACTTTCTTTACCTTTTTATGAAATGAAATAAAAATAAAATACTTTCCTATGGATGGGGATTGGGATGGGTGGTGGGTTGTGGTGTATGAAATGCCTGTATATTAGTGATGCCTGTACCTTATGAATATGAAATATGTACCCCTATGAACTCCACTGTATCTTTTCCTCTTTGTCCCCTTGCCCCACAAAGAAGACCAGCGTGACCAGGAACTGCCTGGGGGGAAAGCCCAAGCCTTTTCCCCCTAAATCACCCTTGATTGACTCATTTTGCATGGACAATGCTGCTGGCCCCCCAATTTCGTCTTCGGAGCAGGGCCAACGAAGGAGGTCAGGGTCAGCAGAGCCTCGGAATAAAAGACTGATTGATTCACTCAGGAATTGTTGATCCTCCGGGTGGTCCGATTTCGACCCAGCTATTCATATCACTTGCCAGACCCATTAAGGACAGGAAAGCCTTTGTTTGACAAACATCACCTGGGACAATGGCCCGCATTCCAGCGGGCAGGAAATCCCAAATCCCATCATCTCTCCCCCCATTGACCACGGCTGTCACGCCTCCTCGCTCCTGATTGGCCAGAGCCCGGGAAGCGAGCAGAGGGCGCCCATTGGCCCTCCCCAGGCGAAGAAACGCTCCCATTGACTCCTGACGGAGGAGGGCGGGACTACCTCCTCCCAGCTGTTCCAGCCTCAGCCAATCAGCAGGAAGCCGGCTGACAGGGGGGCGGGCGGGATTTT